ATACGTGAAACCATTCTCTAGAAGGATTGTGGATTTTGTTTCCGCAAGGTTGGTAACGCAGTTGTTTGTCGAGATATCGACAATCTCTCTTCCTGTTGTTCGTATCTGAAGGTCATGCATTTCGCAGAGAATTATTTGCAATTCCTAGAAAACACGTACGAATACTAGGGAAGAAATAAGCGATAAGATATCGCCCAAGCAGCATCACCACTTCATTGGTGCATAAGGAGTCGGGAGGAGGGGGGGGACACTCATTTATCAGTCTGAATGCACCTCAACAAATAAACTTCTATGTAGAAACCACAATGATTCGTAATCACGTGTTACTGTTACAGCAACTGAACACTGCAGATACTATCTCAATTTCGTTTGAGATTTAATAATAGCTTGAACCGATTACAGTTGACCTTTCAACCGCTGTGATCATGGGTTCGAATCCGCTGTGTTGCGATGTCCCTTGCAAAGAGCTGACCTCCCGCCCACGCACTTCTACCAAATATCTAAATTAGGATTAACAATTTTCAAAAATAAATTGGAATTGGAATAAACTCACATTTTATTAATAAATTTTCTGATAATTGCAGAATTCCGATATCTCACTATTTTGAAATGAATTTATTGATGGATATAACAATTCCTGTTAATTTTAAAACCTTCAATGACGAGCGGCAAAAACGAGTTGTAGGCTTTCTGATCATACATTGAAGATTAAGGTTATGTCTTCAGATATTTTGTTGACCACGTACTAAGACCATGTGACGTCACAACATGGCAGACCGCGATTCAGATGTTCAAAACCGTAGATTCCACAAGCACTGTAGCTTATAATAACTTTGTCCACAGTGTTGCCAGTTAGTGACGTAATTAAATACATACTGGTATTTCCACAGCATTGGTTGGGGCTGAACGATTATTATACGCTGATGTTTACAAATCTATTGTTTGCTTTTAAATGACTGACTGAAAGTCCATCTTGTCCTTCAGTTTAAGGTTTGTGTATGGAACTACTATGTAGGCCTACTCATTTGGTACAGTTTTTCCTTATTGTTATCATAAGGAAAATGTTGAAGCTTTCCTTGTGTCATATATCATATCATCAACGTAAAGGAGATTATGTACAACTTTCCACGACAAAAATCATAGACGTGACAATGTTCTGTGCCGCTCCACCAAAGATACTGTAATCGAAAGCCCAGGGTTCAAAGCTACGTCAGAGTCGTAATGAAAAATTTACTCAGTATCGATTTAGGTCGGTTGAATATTCGACAAATTCAAAGGGACTGACCATCCTGAGTACAGACAGATTCAGAAACTTAAAAAAACCATTTCATTGTTGTCAGTAAGTATCAATGGTTTCATAATGATTGGTATTCATTTTCGTTCAACCTTAACTGCGTGCCAAACCACGCCCGTGTATATTCGTTAGTGGCAGTGACACGGTCATTCGCTTTGTCAGCTCGGTATGCCCACGCCTACATGAGCAACATTCACATTAACTTCGGGCTGTCAGTTCGAACTGACCAAATGCAATTCGATATATACAGGAAGTCAGGAAAGCATCACGATAATTCAGCCAGAATGGTGCAGAGATTGGGGTATTTACACAAGGATGCTGGCGTACCGGAAGTCCAATGTAGAGAAGTGGACACAACACTCATTATCATTTCTACGACTGTTTCACTGTTAAGACGTAACTTGTAATTTTCTAACAATGTACTAACAATTTTCATGCTTTAAGTGCAAATTAATTAGATACTTAAATATAAGTGCACATACCTGTTTGTTTTCGAATAAAATGGTAAAAAGCGTTGTATATTAAAATGAAAATTCTGTATAATAGTCCCTACATGTCTGGTACTTCAGAAAAAAAAAATCTTGAATCGGAAAATATCAGCAGGTTTAATCCGTGACAACCGCACTAAAATGTATACTTTCAGGTTATGGCGGACTCAATTAACACTCCAGCGGCTACCAGCAAGCAACACGTGTTCGGTGACATGCTATTTCATATATCATCACATCAAAACAATCAAACTGCCGATTTGTGAATATGTCGGTAAATTACGTGATCATTACAAACCACATATTCCATAATCTGTACGAACATAACATTTCGTTAATATTCATTAATCTTAATACTAACTACTATAATATGCTGCACACAAGACGATTTATTGTACGATTAAATAAGCCACTACTACCAACCCCTCTTTATAGCGATAATCGATATGTAACGCTCGATGACACTGCAGAAAAGTTGCATTCGACACGTAAAGCCTGTATCCCAGAGATAATTATAAAATCTATTTTGCTGTCGTTCCGATGTGAATGGTTCTCAGTGTTATGCATGTCGTTTCCGTTACCATCGCTCGCTGCTTCGGTGAGACAGACGCTACGAAAATAAGCAGCTGTGAAGAAACATCAGTGTTATGCATGTCGTTTCCGTTACACACGCTACGAAAATAAGCAGTTTTGAAGAAACGAAACACAGCTGAATGCAATGCAATCTAAAGATCTATCAACCCGACTGAAAAAGGCGAAACCGTGAACGGAACTGTATACGACGTTAATACTTAATCCGCATTCTTTCGTGACAATAGGTTATGTCATTGTTAATCGGTTAAAATTTTGAATCAATTGACATTCTTATTTATACGTAACATGTCTTTGTGGAATATTGGGTTACTCGTTGACTACTTAGAAATTCATATACTTCAATAAGACGCTACGAAGTTCCGAGAATGAAGTCGTAACAGTTGGTTTTTAGTATCGATAGGCAGCTTATTTGTAGTATATCGAGAATCGTTACGCAGTAGGCTTATATAACCATACTGAGCAGGTGTGCACAGCGTACGTTCCTACAAGCCGAGTTAACTGTCAAATCCTGGTATATTTTGCAGCCGACTAGTAACCTAGTCTCTAAAATCCAGCCAATCAGATAAATATTTACATATGCTTTAGGATCATTATTCACTTTAAGTACCCAATCAGAAACGATGAATTATTATTCTGAAATCTTCGATAAGATTCGAACACTTCTCGGCTTACATTTGGCATCTTCAGAAATTGTAACATACCTATGCTGATATTATGCATTATAAATATCGCCCTCGTCCTGATGATGGACACACTAACGACCTCCGAAACGTTAGCAATCTAACGTGAGAATCTCAGATCCTAGTCCTTAGTCGTGGGTTTGTAGGGGTCAGAGCACATGCCAAATCACGTGATTGTCGACCAATGCTGCTTCGAGGCGAAGTGCTCAACCCCGATTTGAGGGCCGCTACTCGTGCATAGTAGCGTCATTTCCATGACATCGGTTGAATCTATGACATTTGTGAGCTTATCTCCTGCCAGATTGCATTTTCCTTCTTCGTGGAAGATCTGAAAAATGATGTCAGTTATTTTCACAATTCATTTTTCCTGAAAACCAAGCGTCATGCTTCATTCTTCTGAAAGTGACTTCCGTCATCTACAGCATCTG